CCATGGAAGCAGGAGATGTCAGCTTGCTATATCAGCTGTCTTTTTTTGGGTCCTGCCTAATGTAAGCATAGAGAAAATATTCCAACAGCAAGCAGGTCTGGACCACTGGAGCATAAAGATGTGGTTGGCTTTCATGGGCATTACCCTGAGGAAAATGGAGCGAGGTGAGTGAAGGGAGCTGAGCTCAACACCAACGGCTTCTGGTTCTGTCTTGTAATGATGCATTTCCTTAGGTCTTTCTTTGGCCCCTAGACTTAGGCCATCTCTCTGTTGGCAGGTCCTTGCCAGTTGATGCCTCCAAATGATAGCCCTCTGGCCATTTGATTTCGTGAATTGTGCAGAAGCTTCCTGACCTCCCTCTTGGACCTCATCCACCTGGGGGTCTGTTTAGCACGTACCTTGGAAGTGTTTTGCAAAGACAGACGGAGAAATGCGTCTGTTGGTCCCTCTTGTGTCTAGCCTTGAAGCAGTCCCTTGGGTTCAGTTTTAGGCCCCGCAGCTGTTCTTCCTCCAAGCCAGGACCAGATAGAAACATAGGTTGGCCATTTTTTCCTGATAGACTATCTCCAATCTGTTACTGGGGTCTTTTCTATCCAGTCCCCCGTGGCTGATCGTAATGAATAAACACAATTCTGTCTGGGTGGGGACACGCGTGTCTCAAGGGAGATGCCTTTGTGTACAGACTCTTTAGATTTTCAGGGTTAAATAGGACCATGACAGCATTTTGGATTTTTATCAACATAATTTTAAAGCTCCAGTAGACCTCCTGGATGTTAAGTGAGATTGACAACTTTTCATCTTACGAGGGAAAAGCACAAAAATAAAAATTGTGCTTTTAAAGCAGTCTCCAGTTCTCTAGCATGATGATAGTGTAGAATTGCAAAGCTTGAATGCTAACTGACACAGTAAACCGTGCTTTGAGATGACTCTCACGTATCCAACTTATACAGTGCTACAAGAAAAAAAAAAATCCCACCAAACTAAAAATAAGTTGAATATGCTATATGGTAAAACAGTAATTTCCCTGGGCTTTTGCTTCCTTTTAAGATACAGAGCTGCTTACTACAGTAGAAACAGGGAAAACAAGACTCCCATTTTATTTGTGAGCCGTCTTTGTGTGTCTCTTCAGTTTGCTTGCAAATGCTGTGCTATAACTTGCTAAGCCCTTTCATTGTATTCTGGTGTCACGCACCATTTCGGCGTGCCGCCCCACGTCCAGGTGTCCCTTTAAAATGCATAAAAGGAAATTGCGCTCTATAATCTTATTTCCTCATTTGTACTTTTCTGGAATGGGAGGTCTGTAAAGCAGGAACTACTGTCGTGTCTTAACGGTTTCTACTGCAGTAAAAATCTACCCACTTTCTTGGTGCTATATGAATGAGACTTGACTTAAAAAATCAAGCTGAAGTGTTCAGCTTATTGTCCTTGATAGAGAAAAACCCAGTGCCCCAAATGTTATATACTTCATCATGGTGTGTCTTGAGACAAGAAAGGTACGTTTTCAATTGCTTTAACTTACCACTTTGGAATAGCCTCATTAGGATGGTGGCTACAACATATGAAGCCTTGTTAGCTGAATATTACGCTCTCAGCTAGGCTACAAGTTGATTCTTTAACAGTGCATTACGGATCTTTTTACTCGCGTTAAACCAACACGATCAAGGCAGGGAAATAATTTTTTTAAATTTTCCTGTGTATCTGGGAGTTTAAGGGGCTGTCTGTGGCTCGGTTTACTCTTGCTACAGTAATCTAAAAACTCTTTCAGGGTCGTGGCCATTGCCATTTTGAAGTAGGTGAAACAGCACCCAATTGTGAAATTTGTTTTCGTTGGAGCCACGGCACCGGTATGGAGGTGTTGGCTGGATCTCTTTTGTCTTAAGCAACCCTTTTCTGGTCAGTAGACAGATTGCTGCTGTAGTCTGGATGCTTTCTACACCTACCAGTTGCCAAGTGTGAGAGAGAGGTGGTTGCTGACCCAATTAGGCTTTCCAGATTGCTCAGCTCCTTAGGGAAAAGCTGAGGACAGTTGTGAAATTAAAGTCAATGTATTATTGCAGTTGTTAAAGTAACTGGATTCAGGATTTCTTTTTGAGACAGGCCTACACAACAAGATTATTGTATGGGTCTCTTATCTGAGTAGGATGGGTAGCAGTCGCAGTGAAGATGCAGTGGCATGGGCTTTGGAGAGGCCAGCAACCCAACTATATATATGCTCAGGGTCCATGGTGGATTGTAGGGTTGTTGGCTGGCTCCAGAGTTATTCCTTCTTCCCCCAGTTGAAGCTGGCAGAGCAAAGCCTACCTGTGCTACATTTGATTCTCCAAAAAATATACCCTTCATTTTTTAATCATAAATAGCAATTAGCATGCACTGTTTCCATTCAGTGTCTCATATGGTGATTCCTAGCTCAAACTCTTGGGCTGAGTACAGACGGTCAAAAAGCCTGAGGCTGAATCAATCCAATCTTTGCAGGCTAGTCTAAGCTGTGTAGATTGAACCAATAAGCAAGTGAACAGACATCCACTTTTGATTCCAGAAATGCAGCCACATGCCTGCAGTGGCCCAGGCTAGAAGCCGGGGGGTGCTAGAGCACGCCTCCCTGCTCTGCTGGAGCGGACAGCTTGGGCCAGGGCTAGCCTGCCCACCCTGAAGCAGGGGGGAGGCGTTTGCTGGGGAGGTGCAAAGCATCCTGGGATGCTGGGGGACTGTGAGTTGACTTGAATCTGGGACAAAAGTTCAATAAATCAATTTAACCTAAATCAGTTCAGTCCGATACGACATCCATCCAGGTTGATGTTAAATCAGTTTAAGCTATTTTGAAAGCGGTTTATGTGCACTGAATTTCTGTTGTGTTACAGACGTGAACTGGTTTCCAGTCACTTATACTGGTTCACGTGTAATGATGATATGGCGTTAACGGGAGCGGGGTGGGCAAAGCCGTCAGATTCTTCACTTGAATCGAGACTTGACTGCCTGTAGCAGAGTCCCTGGAAGGAGTTTCCCATCCAAAATCTGTTCTCCTTCTGCTCAAAAAACCCAAAATCTGTTCTCTCTCTCTCTGCGGGATCTGCCAAACCAGGGAATCTTGGCCACTGAAGCATGAATATGTTGCATGAGCCATGGGAAGGAAGACGAAGTTTGTACAAAACTCAGTAAGGAGACTTTTCCAGGCTTTCTGGAGTGTTACCTGATCACACCATAATCTTTTAGGAGTTGCCAGTACAGGCTCTTTTCCTGGTTTTTAAATTGTTGGCCATTGGAAGACATGCTGAGTTGCATAAGCTGCCCTTTGGTTTTGTTTGCTTCGATTTTATACATACGAAATGCTGGGAAAATGCCCATTTTTCTTGTTATAAAGACGTTTGTAAATGCCACGTATATATTATTTTTCAAAAAAAAAAAGGAAAGAATCCTGGAAGAAAAAACTGACAATTTGATGGTGCATGATGCACTAATAAAAATGCCTGTGTGGTGATGTTTAATCCTTTAAAGGAGAGAAAAGAAACACTGTAGTTATCAGCATTCAAAAGGCAAGACACAGGCGTAAATGTATGCAAAGCCTTGGAGAGACTGAAGAAATTTACTGACTATATTGCAGAAAGCTTCTGACAGGCGCGTCGCGTCTTTGAAAGTAAGATTTGAATTATTAAAGCTGCCTTTGTTTATTAAATTGAGCCTCCAGTGAGAAGATTATGTGAAGAAATGGCACAAGGCTCGAGATGTATTGGGCATCGCTTTAACGGGTGTTGGAACTAAATTTACCTTGTTGGGCTACTTCAGTAAATGCTTCGGAAAAAGAAAATTCAAGTTTCGGGTGGGCGGTAGGTGGTGCGTTTGCCGTCTTCCTGTAGCAAAGAGACCTCGTTTTAGGGAGGCCAGTCTGTTTGTAGTGAAGGGTAACCTTTAAAATAAAAACACTCGTAGGCAAGCATATGAGCAGAAGAGATGTTGTTAATTTTTAAATCTAGGAGTACGCGGGCAAGGCTGGGAGCTAAAGGAGAATGCAGTTATGCAAACTGGAGGGGGGTTGGGGCTGTTTAAAATCCTCCTCTAAGACTTAATGATACGGCGCTTGAAGTACACTAAAAATAACTTGAACTGAAATGTTGGAGTAATCGCACTTCGAATCTTTTTTCATTTAGGTATTTTTTTCCTCTTTGATTCACGCACATCATATGTCTGATATTATGCACGCAGCGGTCTAACATCCAGGGAAGTGTAGGCCACTGGATTTTGAAATCTCTTTCGTCACAATATTCATTTTTTCCCTCTTATTTATTATTTTTTCCAAGCACTCTTGTCCCTGGGCTCTGTTGACCTTGCATCTGTTGGACTGAGATACAAATATGCAAAAGTAATAAAGTAGACGGAAAAAAAATCTCAGCCAGTATTTTGGGACCAGCACAGCCACTACAAAAACAAAAAAAGCCCTGCAGAGGAGCGTCTTTAATTGAGACTCGGTCCTAAAACTTAGTGAAGAATATCTGGGCTCGGGTTATGTCTGCAGTCCAAGTGCAGACAGCCGGCGTTCGTTCAAGGTTAGACTCGCTCTCCTATTTTTGTTAGCTTTTTGTGTTACAGCGATTCCTTTTATGCAGCTTCTCAACTGGAACTCGATAATGGTTTATTTAAAACCGGAATCCTTTTAAATATGGGGTTTAAAGTGGAATTCTTCAAAAATGTTTAATGAAAGCCCTGCGTTTTATGATACCGCCAGGCAGATGTCGGGATTTACTCTTCAATTAGGTAGGATTGTGGTGGGGAGAGCAGATTAGACTCTTTTGCAGCTGATGTGCTGCCTGGAGGAAGTGACATTTATGCTTTTGATCCTTCAGTGATTCTGCATGTCAAGAACTGAGCCTTGAAATTCGTCAGCAGCGCTGCCTTAAGAGCAAGCAGAGGATTTTTAACAGAGAGAGAAAAATTTAAGAACAAGAAGCAACAGCAGGTGCTTAAACACTTTAATTTTCCCCCCCCCTCCCTTTTTTTTTCCCCCCCAGGAAATTGGGAAGGAAGATTAGCCTCATCTAACCTACTCCGTATTTGAAAAGTTAGAAATCTGAGATGCATTAGAGTTTGGAGACCTTCATTTGATTAAGGTAAGATTATTTTAAGGAAATCGTGTTTTCCGCTCATCTCTTTCTATTTAATTCTGCGGGGGTTTTTTGTTTGTTTTTTTTTAACTCCTAATTAGAGTTGGACTTTAATGCATTTAAAATGTGGAAAGAACCCTCCACATTTAAATGGTTAATGCTCATTCAATTTAGTAACTTCCAGCTGCAAAAGGCATATGGCTCTGTATTTACAGACGGTGTCATGTGTTGATAACCAGATTCTGTTTGCCCAGAGGAATGAAAGCAGGCTGCTTATCGCAGGGACTAACCCAGGGTGATGATAGTGTGTTCAGGCAGAGATGAGCTGGTTGTTTTTATCTTATTAGTTGAAGGTCTCTCATGCATGAAACCGAATCTGCAGTTTGTTTTTTTTTCATCTGGTCGGGAAGCTCAGTAACGACCGAGGGATGGAGGGAGGGAGAGAAGCGGTGGTAACGTCCTTCCTCTAGAGGTGTAAGAGTTTGGTACTGTTGCTGATGAAACGTGTGATCAGGTAAGCAGTAGCCCCGGGTATCGTGGGAGAACAAAATTGCTCAAGCGTTAACTGAGTGTTTGTGTGAAACCCATTTCAGTTCTGGGTCTGAGAGTGGATCTGTGCGCAGGCAGGTCTGGCCCAGTTTGGTTTTCTTTGCAGGGCTGTCCGCTGGTTTTATCATCTTGCACATTGGGTTGAAAAAATGGATTGTGATCATTCCTATCAGAAAGACAATGCAAGAGGGAACATGGAAATTATATACAATTGGAATGATAGACAATATACAAATATGCAACCTTGAAATTGCATCCCATTTCCCCAGAGGCTTCACGTTCAGATAGTTCTTAGCATAACCTTTTTAACAAATGAAGCCTGACTTGGTAAGGATTTTTAATAGGCCATTGAAAAGTTGAAAGTTTTTTTCTTTTGGTGGGATTTGCATTTAAACTATTTTGGTATTAGTGTGTGGTATTGCTGGCCACGTGTAATTTTAGAAAACCAAACTGCAAAGTAGAAAAACCAAAATTAAAGACTAGCAAACCCTGTCTTGAATTCCCAGTGCATGTCTCTGGCATGTTCTGGCTGAAAGACAAAAGCAGTTTTGGAACTACTGTTCCAACAAAGTCATTTCAAAACGTCTTGTGTTGATTAAAGGAATAATTTTTGCACAGAAGATTAAAGTAACTTACAGCACCCTTTTTATGTTGTTAACTATTTTATCAAATCTTCCTTTTTTTTTTTTTTTTAAATAATTAAACTCCATGTCATGGTTTGATTTGGTTTAAGGAGCTTTTTCTGAGTCTCCGAAACCTGAAGAGAAGTTAACGTGTTGGCAGTCTGTACTGGTGTACGTGATCTGTCATTTTGAATTGCTTTGTGCTGCAGGACTGTCAGATGAGAGAGGGAGTTTAAAACATCTTATTTTTGGATTTGGAGATGAACAGAAAATAGTATAGGATTTAGTAATTCCACTCCTTAATTAAGATGGCAACAAAGCACATTTCAGTGGAGAGACGAATATCTTCCAAAGTTGCAGTAGCTGTATTTGTATTTAAAAAAAAAAAAAAAAGCATCCATTTCGTGTCATATTGTCCTATCCTCGGCAGTTCCTAACGAGCAGAGGAAGGCAGCAGATCCTTTTGAGTTTTGTACCCATCCCCGAAGTGCTCGACATCATCACTTTCCAAAATTCTCTACTAAGTCTGCTTCTGACTTTCAGAAGAAAAATGATTTGTCAAACTAATCACAGTCCTCAAACCCTTGCAAACTTAACTGCGTGTAGAATATGCTTGCTTTTTTTTTTTTTAACTAGGAGGCAATAGAATTTGAGAGAGTACTCCTATTTTGTGGGGAAATAAAGTTTTGCTGCCAGGTTTTAAATATATATCCTCTTAAACAATCTGCTTATGCAGGCACCAGGAGTTTTATATTTAAATTGGAATAATTTTTTTTTTTTTTTTTTTAGTATGAAAGTGCTTGCAGATCTGAATTGAGGGATAGATGAAATTAAGCTGCAAAAGCACTGATGGCAATCTGCAAAGCTTTAATGTGTTAATGTAGCCTAGGCATTATACATATTTAGAAGCAGTCTAGATTGAATCCTGGAGAAAAGGCAGAGTTATTCATAGACTCCTGTCTTGGGCCTGTTTCTTTTTAAGTGATGGATAGTATAGAAGAGTAGTGTGAAGGAGCTGCTAAAGATTATTTTGCTGTAGGTAGAACTGTATCAGACATTAATTGCCCCAAATTCAGTATTGGTTTAAAAAAAAATCCTCCCGTGGAAAAAAATAAAAGGGAATGAGTGATGCTTGTAAAATGCCTTAGCTTTGTGTAAAGACCCTTTTTTTCCCTTCATGAATTATTCAGTTGTTCAAGTCTGTTATATTGCAGTATTTAATATATTTTAAATGACATTGAATCAGTTAATATGGTGAAGGGGAAAGACCTGGGTGTATTGATAAATTCTCTGTCGGTGTGCAGCAGCAGTGAAGAATGGGTTGTTGACTTGAAGTGAAAAATGTTTTCTGCCCAAAATATTCCACAAGTGCAAGGATGATTTTGTTATCCCATACTTGAGGCTCTTAAGAAGACCAAGTTTAGGTCTCTGGGGCAAATGTCCATATGCTTTAATGTTTTAGCACAATCAGGTCTTGATTCTGGCCGGTGCTTTTTGGTGTGTTGCAGTGGAAGGGAATATTGATAGGACTTCAAGGAGATTGACTGTGAATAGGGAATGAGCAATAATGGATTTGTAGTCAAAGAAGAACCCTGAAGCATTAATAAGAAATTGGATCACGAGGTGTTGTTAAAAGAGTTTTAACGTTTCTCTCCTTTTGTGTGTGTGTGTGTGTGTGTGTGTGTGTGTGTGTGTGCGCGCGCGCGCGCTTGAATACAGAGAAGCAGGAGGCTACAAAAATACCTGTAAAGTTGTGTGTGTGGTGTTGCTTGGTTTTATTTTCCCCCACCACCATCTTGCCCCTCTCAAAGATTTAATTTTATTTTTTTTCAACAATTTAAACTCTGTATCAGGGAATTCAGCAGTTCTCAGATCTATGGGTCCCATGTTGTGGTCTTGTGTAATAGTCATGGCAAGAGCACAGTGTTTTGTGCACATATGTGTAAGAGGTATGTTCCTTCTTTAAGTGTGTGTGTGTGTGTGTGTGTGTAAAGACAAATACTTTAAGGTGGACTTTTTTTTCCCCCTAAAATGGTTGGCACCTGTTTGTAGTAGCCTTGCTTGGTTTACATTTGCTAGCACATTAGTTAGAGTATTGCAGCAGTATTTCCAGTACAGCACCTTAATGCAGGGCTCTGGGGACAGCTGACTGTGTTGGTGTAACCCATTTGGGTATGTCCTTTCCAGCAGACTGGAGCTGGGGGATTTTGAGTAGCCAGATAGGTCTCAAGATCTTTGGTTTGTTTTTTTTATCTTTCTTTTCTGTAGCATCCTGCCTGTCTGACCAGTCTGCCATCTCCTAGCCCATCTGAATTGGAGGCGACTAGTCTCCGTCGGTGGTAAAAGTTCTCTCCCTTTTAGCAGCCCCTGTTAGCAGTTCCAGAGCTACTCATCAGTGTAACCTTCTTTCCTGGCCAAGTTGGAGCTGGTGTCTCCTGCTGCTTGAATGATGCCTAATAGAAACAGAGCCTCTGTTTGTCTACCTTTACCTTGGGCAGAGTCCTAGGAAGCAGTTTGGTCCAGCTGCCACGAATGATGCACGTCTGAACTTCAACAGCAGTCGTGGTCAAACTACCTGAAAGCAGGTGGTGCATGAATACCTCCTGTCCCCCATCCTCCTGAATGCACACTTCTGTATCAATACGTTTTGATTTCTTTGGTTTTCTTTTTGTTTCTGCTTGAGCTTCCAAGTCACACTCGATCCGATCCAGCAGCCTCTGAAACAAGTGTCTTTTAGGACAGTCTCATCTAGTTCAAACAAGAAAGGAACATCACTAGTTTTGATGTAAAAGCATCCAGCATCGTACTTGCGACGCTCATGGATACCAGGGCAGGTAGTGGTCAGGGGATAGATCATTCTAGATATGCCCTGTTCAATGGGTGAGACGGATCCTAGTCTGACCCAGGACAGCTCTTGTTTGCTTCCACCTCCTTGTTCCCTGTGAAATTCAGTATGGCATCCTGGTTAGGGGAGAACATTTCAGTCCAATTTTAGACCTCCCAGCCAGTGTCCTGTTTCCCTCACTTGAGATGGATATTGTTCAATTAAATACCATGATTCACAGAACATGAGGGTTGGAAAGGACCTCAGGAGATCACATCTAGTCCAACCTCTGCTCAGAGCAGGACCAGCCCCAACTACATCATCCCAGACAAGGCTTTGTCTACCTGGGTCTTAAACACCTCCAAGGATGGAGACTGTACCACCTCTCTGGGTAACCTGTTCCAGTGCTGCACCACCCTCATAATTAGAGGTTTTTCCCAGCATCCAACCTCAACTTCCCTTGCTGCAGCTTGAGCCCATTGCTCCTTGTCCTGTCATCTGCCCCCACTGAGAACAGCCCAGCTCCATCCTCTTTGCAGCCCCCCTGCGGGGAGGTGAAGGCTGCTATTCAATCCCCCTCAGTCTTCTCTTCTACAGATGATGTAAACCCATTTCCCTCAGCCTCTCCTCACCAGTCATGTCCCCTAGCCCCACAACCATTGTTGTTGCCCTCCGCTGGATGCTGTCTAATTTGTCCACATATGTTCTGTAGTGGGGGGCCCACAACTGGACACGGGACTCCAGATGTGGCCTCCCCAGTGCAGAAGAGAGGGGAATTATTATTTCCCTTGATCTGCTGGCAATGCTTCTACCGATGCAGCCCCGGATGCTGCTAGCCTTCTTGGCAACAAGGACACACTGCTGGCTCCTGTTCAGCCTCTTGTCCCCTGTCACCCCCAGGTCCTTTTCTGCAGGGCTGCTGCCCAGCCTGTCAGCCCCAGCCTGCACCGGTGCATGGGATTACTCTGTCCTAAGTGCAGGACTTTGCACTTGTCCTTGTTGAACCTCAT